ATAGAAAATGTTAGTGATTGCTGTTAACTCAGAGCAGATGGTCATTTTTGTTTCTTTAAAATATATGATTTGCAGTGCCTCTAGTACAGGTTTCTTATATGAAAAATAATGCATGTCTTCAAACAGCCATTGTGGAATTACAGGTGTCTAAAATGGTAGACTAAGACTAAGGTTGAATAAGCAGAGTGTATATACTAGAGTTGCAGGCTGATTAAACAGAGAACATAGAGTTTCATCCAGTATTATTTTTCCTGATTATGCATGGAGTATCTGGATTCTGTTTTCTCCCTTTTGTATTTTAGGTGTCTACTTATGAAACCCATATACTGTATTATTGAAATTGCAATCGAATAAAATATCCAAGAATTGCTTTTTTTTTGTTTGAGGTTTTTTTGTTTATGATATAATAAAATTGGGCTCCTCTGCATTTGGTTCTAGATTCCTAATGTTCATTTTAATTTGCTTGCATCCTAATAAAAGGACCAAATATTTACCAAAAATTGTTTGAGATCATAAGCAGAGTTGTTTAAAATCCCTGTAGAAGAAGATTGCTTTCTCTTTCAGTCTGTGAGTAGCTTCACTTGTTTCAGTGCAACTGCTGAAGTTAAATGTGGTTTCGTGTTCTTAGGAGTATTAAAGTGGCTTACAAGCATAATTCTAAAGATTTTACTACTATTCTTGCTCTGCAATTGCTGTTTTCTCTCCTCCCATGTTGGCAAGAATAAATGCATGTTTGTTTGCATTTTCTCTCTCTATAAAAAAAAAATGATATGGATATACAGTACATCTTCTACTGAAATGTTCCACGTCCAACTCACTCTAAAAACTGTCTACAGCTATGGTTCTTTTGTGGATATGCATTAATATATATGCATGTATATTAACTGGGTTTGTAATGTGTCTACAGGAATTGCACTTAAAATCTTTCCAGGTTTGTTGCAGATAAATATTTAACCCTGTCTTAGTATTAAGAAATTGCAAAAGATACTATACATATTGAGGTCCAGCAGTTAAATTTGTTCAGCTAGCAAGCAGTTTTAATGTGCAGCTGCTGTAGATGTGCATCCACTGTAGCAGGCAACTAGAAAGTACTTTCTCTGTGACTTTCAGTTGTGTGTTATTCACCTGTTGATCCTGGATTGTTTAGTTCTGCTGTTTTACAGGCAATCAAGCCTTCTTTATGCAATGTTGACAGCCCAGGCTTCAAGACTAGTGGGAAAGGATTCTCAGTAACTCACAGCTGGGCTCAGTCATCAAATTTATCCGGTGCTTCTCTGTTTCCTCTTGTATTCCATTCCTGCATTTTCATGTTAGGATTCTTTCATTATGGGAGGACTTAAATAAACACCATTTAATGCTCATTTCTGGATTAGAAAGTTCACTTTAGGACCTGAAATATATGGAGAAAAGGAATCCAGTACATTGGAAACAAAGGTAATAGTAAAGTGAAGAGGTTGTAAGATAAGCAAAATTATAGCTGGGTATCTGATGGACTTTCAAATAGTGGTCCTGGCATAGAGAAGGTGTGGCCTGAGTGTGGAGCCAGTCTGGCACTAAAAATTATGCTTTTAGTCCAATTGTCTGTTCATCTTCATTAACAAGTATGTTGTGGGTTTTTTTTCAGGAATACAGTTCTTGAGGTTTATTTATCTAGAGTGTAATACAATCTGGAGGTAACAAATGGTAACCTTTCACATTTTTCACTCTGGAAAAAAGTATTATTATGTTAATTTCCAGTAATGGAACTATAGATACATTTTCATGTTCAGTGCAGGATATTAAACTACAATTACAAGACCCTACTGGAGGAAGCAGCATGGGTAGATGTGGTATATGCATGTAACTGTACACACAGCTTACCTGTTCGTATGTTCACATTTCAAAAATGTTAAATATTCAAGAGAAATGTTGCATGCAAATTGTGTTTTAGGTATGTTCCCATTTATTGTAGCTGTTTAGTTACTACAGTCCCTTAAAGATGCCTGAATATCAACAAGATTTGTATTGTTCAAAGTTCATCTTTCTGCTTCTGGGTATCCTGCATTATATCATTCTCTTTGATGCATAATATCGCTGCCATAAAGATGACAATGAGAACATGATCTCACTATATTCCATGTGGAGTAAGTAGCTGGGGATTGAGTAGTAACTGGTTTTGTGCTGATATCTTCAGAAGTTTTAAAAAGTGGAAGACAGAACAAACCAGAAAATCTGAATTATTTTCAAGAACATTTTTACAGCTTTCCATGAGACGCCAGTGGATTCCTAATGAGTAAAACACGTTAATGTGTTTTTGTAAGATTCCGCTAGTAACAGAAAAAGGACACACTCTTTTCAGAAGTTACTTTGGCTTTTTCCTTTGTAAAGTTCCTATGCCTGTCAGTCTTTCTGGAAGAAAGGCAAACGAAGTCTAGTAGCAAGGCAGCTGATTTGTGAGGCAAGCATCCCATTTACCTACCCTACTGTAAGCTTTCTGCAAGTACAGGTTCAGTATATATGTCCTTCAGTTCCTCACTTATGCTGAAACTGATGTCATTTGTGGTGGTGGGGTAAGATTCCTACACTAAAATAGTGGAGCTCTCAGATACTAGAGGGAGGGGGGCCTTGGAAAGCTGGAGATGTCAGCTGCTTAGCCATAAGCTGTCCCTAGACCTAGGAAAAGTCTTGATACAGAGACAGGAATGCAGGACAATGAGCTCCTATGTGTTCAAAGCAGCTGGCAAAAAGCCCTTCTTGTACAAGTAAGCTTGATGTACCAAGTCACAAAATACCAAAAAAGTTTAATATATAATATGACTATCCTGAAAAAGTGTTTTCACAAGATGGTGTCATGTTGTTTTGCTCTTGTAGGTATGTATTTTTGGTACTTCCCCATTGCTATGTTTTACAGCCTTTATTTGCTCTATGGTTAATCATCTTTTCTGAGAGTACCCTTTTATCATTTCAGATTCCTCTTCAAAATTATAGCTGCTTAGTTGAAATAGCTAAAAAACTTATCTAATTAGAAATTTCTCCTGAGAATCAATTAAAGTTGCTTTTTTTCCTCTGGCACTTTCATTTTTGCTTCCCTTTTCATTGACTTATTTTTGTAAGTATGTTTAGTAAATGTTGATTCAGAGTTCTACAATATTGCAAATTTAATAAAATTCAAGTGTGTTTTTGTCAGTTTAAGATAACAGCATCTGAAGAGGTCATCCAGGCTATTAATTGCTTTAAGGCAGGATTAGTACATTTGGATTCAGGGAAAAAAGGTCTTAATTTTAAATTTCTAATCAAGTAAAAAAACCCATAGAGCTTTCAGTGATTCATACAGTCAGTGCCTTTGCCTGAACTATGGGACTCAACCCTTTAGTGCCTCTTTGTCCCTTTGCAGGCTGGTTTCTCTGGGAAGGAAGCATAGGTGTACTGCCCTGAGCAGCACTGATGCACGCTATGGTGGCATCTCTGATCCAGATGCTTGCAAGGAGTAGTGCAGGCCTGGTGCTGAATATGCATGCCTGGCTGCTCAGATGTAGACATAGAAATGAGGGAGAATTATGTCACTGACTTAAGGAAATCTGAGTATGTCCTTTATCCTTTTCAGTTTTAAATGTCATCTATAAGCCTGGTGAAAGTACCCAATTTCCCTCTATTCAGAGGTGGGTATACTCTTGTTGCCATACTGTGGTTTCATGGCTGATAATTTAATGACTAGGTGTCATGACTGCTTCATGCTCGGCATGAATGCTTACTGTTCAATTACAGTTTTTCTACCTGTTTTCTATCTGCTTCCTGAGAGTACCCCTAAAAAGCAAGGCTAGGAGATGTCTGGTGACATCGTTGGTAAGGGAGATGCACTTCTGTGAGTGGGAATTACATCAAGTCGGTTGTATTCTGGCAGTGTGACAGTGAAATCCCACCAGTCCCTGAATGCTAAAGAAATTTGTCTAGGCAATGATAATAATAGCTTTACTTCCCGGTTCTATAGGGTATTCGTATTTTTTCCCCCTCAAAATATGTGGCAGAAGTTACCTTTGGGGTTGCATAATGACACCAAAGGACCCCTTGTCATTGTTGTCTTTGAAAGTGACGTAATCTCCATCAACCCCCCTCCCTATTCCCACTCCCCCTTCTACATAGCTTGCTAAGGAACAAAAACAGTATGGTTGTGATGGAAGATTGATTCTTGTGTAAACATTAAGATCTAGCAAAATGTGGTTTCCTAACTTTTGTCAGCTAAGCTTGTGGCCTTTCCTAAAAAGACTGTTGGCTGACAAATTTACAACAATCTGGTCTGTATATAGAATTTGAATTCAAAAACTAATGGCTAAACCGTAAGGGGAAAATCTGTTCTGTTTATTGGAGAGTTTACAAGTACTACCTTCCTACATACGTATTTTTCCTCCTTTCTCTTTTCTTCCATTAAGTGATTCCCTACATTTATCTAATTATGTGAATTACCTGCAAGAGGTGTTAATCAAATGTGTCCCATTTTTTTTTACTATGAAGGCAGACATCAGAGGTTGTGTAGTTTGTTTAAAATACCTGATTATCGTTTTCTTTCCCCTTTTACTGATGTCTAAAAAAAAATGTATATAATGCACTGAAAGGATTTAACATGGGAAAAGTTGCATCATTATTTATTTTGATATTTATTACTTACAGCATCAGTCGTGACACATGCAGTTTTGATGACGTGTCTTATGTGTTTGCCCTCTGCATCACCACAGTGTTGTTTTCCTAAAAGTGCTCCATTTTGGCAAAAGCTGGAAAATTGATTTGAAGTAGTTTCATGGTGCTTTCAGATGATTATTATTTCCAGAGCTGTGCTGTAGCATGCTAAGATAGATACATTCAAGCACTCCGTGTGATTATTAAACAAGTACCTATCCCATAAACTCTGTTGTCTAAAACAATTACCAAGTAATTTCTGACCCCAAAGGATTTTTAATTTAAAATGCTGTGTGCATGATACAGAGTAGCAAAATGCTAGTTTTACAATGTGGTGCTCTTTGTTCTAGGAATGTTTACAAGGATTACCGTTTCCTTGAGCTAGCCTGTGACTCCCAAGAGGAGGTGGATAGCTGGAAGGCATCTCTGCTACGAGCCGGTGTCTATCCTGATAAATCCTCAGTAAGTTCAATAGCTCACTAGCTTTCCAGTAGCTGCTCTGTTTGAGTCAGAAAGAACAATCATGTCATCTGGGAAAACACAGTGTCTGCAACTATCTCAAGAAGTGCTAGCCTTTTCGTTGTACTCTTCTGTGGTAATTTTGAAATATTTTAAGATAAATTTGTGAGTCAAGCCTTAATATTTAAAAAAAACGAAACAAACCAAACCTTCCAAAATCATAAATGTTCTTTGTTGGATCTGTTTAGTGAAAGTTGAGTAATTTGGGGTTTCTGGAGCTTCGTTCTTTCTGTTAATGTCTTCTAAGGTAAAGATGTGCTTTGAAGAGTTTATTCCCTCAAGCTCTGTATTACAGAACTGACAGAAGCCTTCCAGGCAGTCATGTATATTTATTTTACTGATTTACTGCACGTTTTTTGTGTATGAAATGCATGCTAAACCTTTCCAAAGGCAGTTTTACTCAGCTAATTGTCATGTGGACCAAATTGAACAGATAAAAGCCTTTATTAATTTAACATAAAAACCAGAAAGTCAGGAAATGGAATATGCCCAACTACCATTTCATATTTTTTAGACTTAGTTATTTTAATATTTAATATCAACTGAGTGATTGAGGACATGTATCCCGAAACAAGGGTGACTAGCAAAAATACCTGCCATTTGAGCTTTTGAAAGTTTCTGTAATGCATGGTGCACCTTTCTTCAGTAAGCCTGCTGGTCCACTAGATTCCTTCAGTGGAAAATCTGGTTTTAGAAATGGCACTTTGATTTTGATGGAATTTGTTCTCTCTGCTTGTTTTCCATTGGAAGGCCAGGTCCCTTGAGTCCAGGGTCTTGTGCTGTCTTGTATGTCTTCATCTTTCTCTTCCTCGTATTTCTCTTGTGATCCCTCCATGGCTTCCTGTGTAATTTTCTCTGTATCTTCTCCGGCTGCTATTTAGCAAACAACCCTCAGCTTTGTCTCCCCATACCAAGATTCAAGGCTACCGTTAACAGATAAATCAGAGACTTCTTGAACTGCTGGATTCTTATAGGAATAAACATTGATGATGATAACAATGCTGATTTTTTTTAAGAATAGTTCAAATACAAATTTAGCAGAAGGCCTATCAGGTATCTGAGACTTTACCTTAAAAAAATATATAAAATTTGGTGACTCTCCAGTATGTTGCCTGTGTCAGTAAATTACTTCCTACCTAAGACATCAAAAGTAATTTTACAAGGATCAGTTACAAGAGGTTACCTAATTAATTACTAGGGACAAAATATTGTTTTGTGTTTTATTTTCCTTGCTCAGGTTGTCATAATGATGTCAAAAAAGCCTGTTGCTGCCTCTGGTTTAATCTTGCATTCTGTGACATGCTTATCATATTCATATATCTTTTATTTTATTTTTAAACAAGATGGATTAGTTGGATTCTAAACTCCTCTTCAGTCTTCCTGTCTCTCTGTTCCCCCTAAAAATATTTTGAATTCAAGATATGTTTATAAAGAATTCTTGGTTTTGTTTGAAGATGGTCTATCAAGGGAGCCTTAGGGACTTCCTTGAAAGACAGAAGTAAACGGGAGTCAAAATTCAGTTCTTTGAGCTGGAGTTATCTTCACATTACAAAAAGAGTGACTATTATTGCTTGAACCCCCTGTAGTTTGAAATTCACCCAGTAGTCTATCAAGCTGTTCAAGAAAGATGCCTGATCCTACTCTTGTCTTGCAAAGCACTTTGTTCCTGCAGGACTAGAGGTCCAAATGTGCACTGCAAGTCTACTGTTAAAGTTTTGAATTTACAAAGTGAAAGCTCCAAGGCGCAGGATACCTTAGAAGTTCCAGTGAAACCGAAATAAAAATCATCACCATTTCATTAAAATCCTGTGCATACCCCACAGTGTCACACCTTCCTCTGACAATATAGAATAGTTTTAGAGACACACACTCAGTCTTTCATTCTGCTTCAAAGACTTAGGGACCATGTTTTTTTTTGTCAGGGAGACCACCAGGAAATGGCAGCAACTCGCATTTTCTTCAGTGCTTCCCCACAGCTTTGCGATCCCAGAGTTAAAAAGGCAAAGAGGTACCCTAGCCCCTTCCCAGACTGACCTCACTCTTTTTCATGTGCATGTCACAGCTGGGAACTTTGAGTATCCAAGGCTTTGGCACCAGAAGTAGAAAAATTGCTGCTTAGAAATGAAAAATAGATTACTAGTGCTGTAAACCTGGAGTACTGCAATGGCCTGCTTTCTGTAACTGCCAGAGCAGTGTGCGCAGCCTGGAATTTGAAAGCTAAGCTGTGTGCTTTCATTAACAGTTCTGCTGCTTGCATACAAGGACATTGATGTAAATCCCAACTCAGTTGCCCCTAGCTTGGGCTCCTTCTGCAGTGGCAGGAAAAGTAGAACTTTGTCACTGAATTAGAGATTTGTTCTGAATTCTCACCAGGCGCAAATCTCTCAACTAAAAATATTAATCTTTCTGTTCTTTTTTTTTGGAATGCTACTTAAAATTGTGTGATTACAGTGGAAGTGGGGCTCAGTACTTACTGGCGCTAATGTGAAGTTTCTATTACTGATTTAATCCTGTAAGCGAAGTCCAATGCTGTTGCATTTTAATTTTTATTTTTCCCTAAACAAATCACCATTTCTCTATTTCCTCACTTCATTTTGCCTGCCTTGAGCACATGGGGACGCACACTCATGTTTATATATTCACTCTCTTGTTAACTATCTTTAATCACTCCTCAGTGTTGCTCTATGAGCCCTGAATTCTTCTGCAGCTTGCCAAGTCATCTCTTTCCGCCAGGAGATTTGCTTTTGTCAGGACGTGGGCTTTGACAGCCACCGGGATAGCAGTGAATCAGTGTTTTTATTTTTTCAACCCATATGCAAGTCAGCTTGCTTGATATAAATCACACTGTGGCCAATTCACTTTGAAATGGAATATCCATTTACCAGCTGACTTTACTGCTGGGTTTCTGGGCTGATGCATCCAAAAAACCTCCTTTTTTAAAAAAAAAATAACTACAACTTTGTGACTAACCTTTCCAGACTATATTTTTCAGCTGTAGGCTGGTGTTTATTTTGGCTGACTTCCCACTGTATAATATACGCTGTTCGTGCCAGCTTGTGGCAAAACTCACAATTCAGGGAAAAATCACAGATGTTTGTCATAACTTCATCTGCACACTTTACCTTGCTAGCACCATCCATTCCTCTCCTCTGTCCCCTAATGCCATCTCCCCATTTTTATTACTAATCTAAAAGTTCAATATTTGGTTTTTAAAAGGCATTGGATCATAAACTTTCCATTCATTGGCACGTCATAGGGAGTGGCTGTCATGCAAGGCTAAGCAGACATGTTTGGTGGCTTGCTTTGCATACTAGAAGTTCAGTATTACCAGTGCACGAAAATCCCTCTGGCTTTCATCCCACCCCTAGATCATTTCAGGCCTCATTCTCTTCTCCCTTGTGTTAGTGTCCACCAACTTCCCAGGATCTGCTCCTGTTTTACACTAATGGAAGCAAAAGTGGAACCAGAGTGTTTGTGTAGAGAGGAAATTTTGAAAAAAAAGTTTGAATTTACAACTTCACCAAATGTTTTCGACCCTTTGCAAATGTCCTGTGCTCCCTGGAAGCTGTCTAACTAAAGGTTTCAGGGAATGTTCATTGAATCAGTTCCTCATTTGGTTTGAGCTGTTTCCAGAATTGTACAAGTTAGACTGAATGCATGTAAAATTAATGTATCTAACATTTCTTTTTCCCCCTCTTTCCTCCTTGCTGCATCCTGCAAAGGGGAACAACAAAGTAAGTTGTTTGTCCTTTTACAAAATCCTTTTGTATCTTCTCTCAAGGCGTTTATCAGGCAAATTGGTTTATCTTCTGGTTCGCACAACTATTGCCTGATGCTGGTAACAGCAAACTCCTCATAAAAATGTGGGTGCAAAAGTGTCTTCTAGAAAACTATTAATGGCTCTTTGCTTTAATTTTGGGGAACAAGATGTGTTAAATGTCACTGAGTCTTGTTTTTTAAGGCAGTTCAGTAAGAATGATACTATAAAAGAGTATTGCGACCAAATATTATGAAGGTATAGTAATAAAGACCTTCTGAGGAAAGGTTACTACAGTCTGATGAAACTCATTACAGCTGGATTTTCTGACCATACATCAAAGCTTGTATTAATGGCCAGTTATAAAAAGCCAGCACTAAAGTCTTAAATAACAGATTTGCTGGCGTTGTTGGCTAAGCTGAACTAGATCAGTGTACTGGCTTTGAAGGTGCCTTAAAATGGATGGAGGAGGGTGGGGTCAACATTTGACTTGGCTTCTAGACCCTTGATGTGTTCCAGCTGGACAGCAACAGAAGGGTGTGGGGTGTGGAGAGGGAGAACTGAAATATGCATGGTAGAGTTTTTTTTGAAAGTAAGCAGCACATTAAAAGACAGTTTTGCTGATGTTGATCCGATAAATTAATAATCAGCCAGGGTCAGTACTTTTTTTATGCCATTTTTACTGAGCTTAAGAATGGAAATTGCACATTTCACACTTTGGAATATGATGCAGAGAGAATTTGTCATACCACGGAAAGAAGTTAATACAGCTTTTGTGCTTCCCCTCCCCCCCCCTCCTGTTTTGGTATATTAACCCTTAAGAAGATGTATTTATGTATCTGGAGCATCAAAAGACATTTAACAGCAAATGTTGAAAGTAGCCCCTTAAGTATTATCTGTACCATCTTATTGTGAGTCTGAAGCATTTGGGAAAGGCCCAGGTGGGTTTTAAGTGTTATGAAGGTTGAGGAATTTTGTCTGCTTTTAGTTCTTGTGTTTTTAACCAGGTTTTGAGTTCTACTGTCTCCATAGTAGCTGGGACTGAGTAGCCCAGCTCAGGTTCAGAGAAGTGGTGTATTGATGGCAAGGGGAGAGGAACTTTACATCAGGGTAATGTTTATAATGTTTATTTACAGTATAATGACTTAAGACTTTGCTGCTGCAGTGGATGATGTTCTGGTCTCCA